GCTGGCTTCAAACCATGATCCTCCTGATCTCTGCCTCCTGAGTAGCTAGGATTACAGATGTGAGCCACTGGCACCTGGCTGAATTTCTAATAATTTTCACATAAAGAAATATTCTTCCTTTGACTTTTCCCAACTGTTTAAAAATATATAAATTATTCTCAGTTCACAGCCTGTATAAAAAACAGGTATGGGTCATATATTTTACCCATGCCTGATCTATTAAGGGATTTTTTTTTTTTTTTTGGCAGCACTGGGGTTTGAACTCAAGGCTTGCTAGGCAGGTGCTCTTATCACTTGAGCTACTCCACCAGCCCTCTTTTTTTTCCGCAATGGATTGTTTTGAGATAAGGTCTCGCAAACTATTTGCCCGGGCTGGCTTCAAATCATGATCTTCCTGATGTCTGCTTCCTGAGAGGCTAGGATTATAGGTATGAGCCACTGGCGCCCAGCTAAGGAGATGTTGAGTTGTGAAATAGGCAAGTCTGGAGTTTGGGGGTGGGAGTTGTTAGAGAAGTAAAGCTAACAATTGTCAGAATATGAATGATATCTACAGCCATAGTGTTGGCTAAGCTCGCCTACTGAGAGAAGAGAAACTGAAAAAGAAGGGGTCTGAAGACTTAGCTGGTCATGCCCTGTTAAGTCAGAAGCCACTTAGCAATATTGTGGTCAGTGACAGGCCACATATATGATGGTGGTCCCATAAAATTATATCACCTAGCAATGTTACAGCTGTTTGGTTTGTGTAAGAAAACTATGATATTCACACAATAAAACTGCCTAAAGACACACTTGTTAGAATTAGGACTTGTCTGTCACTAAGCAATGCATGCCTCTCTTTAGAGGTTAAGGAGGACCTCGGAAAGGACCTGGCAAAGGACCTCGGAAAGAATGGTCACCAGGCTGGATGTGATGGAGCATGTCTGAAATCTCAGCCCTCAAGTTTGAGGCCAGCCTGGGCTACACAGCAAGACCTTGTTTCCACCTCCGAAAAAAGATGGTAGCCAGTAAGAACAAAGCCAGAAGTCAAATCCAAAGTCTTTGAAGGGAGAGAAAGTGAGTGGATTGGGTGCCAGGGATTTGTAACCTTGTAGCTGGATATGATGGTGGTGTGGCGACTTATTCTATGAAGAGCCTCAGATAGCTATGCCTCCATGCGCTGCTGTACCCAGGAGAACCTAGTAACCTAAGAGATGCTCCTGCCAGAAAAAAATAATCAAATCTGAATCTGATCCTGTTCGTAGAAATAATTTCCAGGGTATATTGAATACAGGAGACAGAGGAACATGTTAAATGGCACTTCAACTGTAGAGTCAGTGGAATTCAAAACAATGGAAGATCTTCATAACAAGTGATCTGGTTTCTTCAATAAATTCACGGCAAGAAGGAAGACAGAGGGCATGAGCACTGGAAGAGGTTGAGTCCTAAATGTCATGTCATTCACAAGTAGTATGAATGTACTTCAGTTCCTGTTTCAAATAAACTCTTAAAAATTATGAGTTATTTTGAAACAGTTGAGCACTCATTGACTAATGATGTTAAGTATTTTTTAAGGTGTGGTACTTTCTAGGTATTATGGTTAAGAGTCCTTATCTCTTAGAAACATATATTAATGTGTTTACAGGTAAATGGATAGAATACCTGGGGTTTTATACAGTAGTCTGGTGGGGGTGGAGAAAAGGGCTAGAGGTGTGGCTGGAGCAGTACAGCACCTGTCTAGCAAGTACAAAGCCCTGAGTTCAAACCCCAATACTGCCCCCCAAAATTAGACATATATCCATACATGTATATACACACATTTACTTATTTATTTAATCATTGTTATTATTAGAGCTCTTTACCAGCTCTTGATGTTCTAAACTCCTGAAATGTTTTGTGGTATTTGTGAAGCCTGTGACCTGTTTTTGTTCTTCATCTGTGTTGGGTGACCAGTCCCTGAGAGGGGAGGTGACCTTCAAGACTCTATGACCTTGGCCAAGGCTGGAAGGTGCTGTGGATGAAATCCACATGACTGTTTTGTTTTGTTTTTTTGTTGTTGTTGTTGTTTTGAGACAGGGTCTCCCCAGGTAGCCCAGGCTGTCCTGGAACTTGCAGTCCTCCCGCCTCAGACTTCAGAGCACTGGGATTGCAGATGTAGGCCACCACGTCCAGTGTTTGCAGTTCAATGGGCACATACAGAGGGCACATTCAAAGTTTTCGGGTTTTAAGAAATTATTTGTAGTTGTAGAAATGGTTGAGAAAGGGCGGTGGAGGAAGACAATGGCTCTATCAAGTCCAGGTAGACCAAGGAAATTTCCAGAAGGGCCATATTTTCTCCATCCTCCCTGTCTGTCCTGCATTTTTTTATTTCCTAAATCCAGCTTACTTAAACAAAGACCCTGGACTGATGGAATAAACTGAGTACTTTCACACAATAGAATTGTAAAAAGAAAAGAGGAATATTTATTTACTTCTATGGAATGGCCAGTAGGAAATATTGTTAAATGCAGTAGCTGGGCATGGTAGTGCACATTTATAATCCCAGCGCTTGGGGGACTGAGGCCAGCCTAGGCTACGTAGTGTCTCAAAAAAAAAGGAAGAAAAAAAACTTAAAAATGTAAAAAAGCAAAGCAGAAAAGGGTGTATATAGTAAGCTCCCATTTATCTAAAATGTGCAGTAATGCAAAATATTTATGTATTTGATTATATTAAACATCACATAAGCTTTTTCAAAAAAGAAATGACTCATATAGAGAGGAAATGATAAAGGCTAGATGTTTCTAAATATACTTGCTTTAGAATTGTGAAAATAACTATAAAAACAAAATTAAGAGTTTTTTTGGGGTATAGTACTGGTATTTGAACTCAGGGCTTTATGCTTGCTAGGCAGGTGCTGTGTCTCTTGAGCCATATCCCCAGCCCTTTTTGCTCTGGTTATTTTGGAGATATGGTCTTGCTTTTTTGCCCAGGCTGGCCTCCTATTTTGTCCTTCCTGCTGTAGCTGATATGACAGACACACACCACCACACCCAGCTTTTTTCCACTGAGATGGGATCTCACAAACTGTTTTGCCTGGGCTGGCCTGGAACTGTGATCCTTCTGATATCAGCCTCCCAAGTAGCTAGGATTACAAGCCTGAGCCAAGGGTGCCTGGCCAAAATTAAGTTTTTATAAAGGCAATTCCTAAAATCACAATCAAAATGAAACAAACTAGCCTGATTTTGTATCAAGTTTTTGGCATTACAATACAGAAAAAATATTTTTAAATGATTAAAGTGGTAATTTATATATCTGTAGTTGGATCCCTAAGAACAAAAAGAATCTACAAACAAGGCTGAGCACGATGGCTTAAGCCTGTAATCCCAGCTACTTGGGAGGCAGACATTGGGAGGATCAGGTTCCAGGCTAGTTGAAGCAAAAAGTTTGCAAGATCCCATCTCAATAAATGGCTGGGCGAAGTGGTGCTCACCTGTGCATCCCAGTGCAGCGAAGCACAAATAGGAAAATCATGGTCCAGGATGGCCAGGGCATAAAATGGTCTCAAAAATGACCAATGCACTGGACTGGAGTGTGGCTCAAGCAGTAAAGCGCCTGCTTGGCAAGTGTGAGGTCCTGAGTTCAAACTCTAGTACTGCCACAAAAAAACAAAACAAAACAAAAACACTTAGAAACATTCAGAAACTGTTTTTAGTAATCACACAGCTGGTGACCATGCTGGCATTGCCACATGAGACCATTGAGTATGGATCGTGAAGTACAGCAAATGAGTTACACTGGAGTTTCTGACAATTGTGATTTTTAGCATAGGAAAAAGAAGCTGAGATGTAAGATCAAAGAGGCTAAATAAAATCTTGTAGTTTTAATTTTGTTTGGCAGTACTGGGGTTTGAACTCAGGGCCTCACACTTGCTAGGCAGGGGCCACTTGAGCAACTCCACCATCTGTAGTTTTAAATTTTGAATTTTGAATGTCAGTAAGAGTTTTCCCTAGGTCTGTCTTTGGAAAGACTGGCAATGAACACCTTAGCTCCCAAATTTTGGATGCTAAATACCATTTCTTAATGAAAGGAACCAGGGCTCATTGGAGAACTGACTGATTCCAGATTTGGGGCAGGAAACACACAAGGCCCTCTGATACCTTCTATCATATTAGAGGGCCACGATGCTCTCAAAGACTTCTGGAAGCATGTCAAAAGGACTCAGGGGCCAAACTGAAGATGACCCCACTGGCCAAAGATGGGACTGTAATAGGAAAATAACTCAATGCATTGAAACACATCAAATATCTCTAATTCCATATGTTCCTAAGGATCAAAAACTCCCTCACTGGTTAAATTAGAGGGATGATGGAGATGCAAACTATATTTTTAAGGCCACCTTCCTTATCCATACTGTACCATAGCATAACCAAATAGTTAATGATGGGGAGGGTTTCCTCTTATACACATGCTAACAACCCTGATTTGGTCATTGCCCAATCGACACATGAATCAAAATATCGAATTGTATCTCATAAATATGTACAAATATCATGAGTCAATCAAGAAAAAGTATTTCTAATGTTGTAGGCATGATGGTGAGACATTATTTATGCTTCAAGAAGTCTGTTAAGTGACACACACTGAAATACTGGAGTGAAATGATACAGTATGTGCAGTTTTCCTGAGGGGGAGTGTGGGAGAGACCACAGACGAAGGAAGTGTTAATCTCTGATTGTGTTGAGAGCAGTGTGTGAGGTGTGGGGCTCATTATACTGTTCTTTCTACTTTCGTTTATATTTAAAATTTCCATCATGAAAATATTTTTAAAGCAGGTCCAGTCTCACTTTTCCTACCTGGGAATTCATTGCTGGCAAAGGTGGGAGTGGACTGGCCAGGTGACCACATGTGGCTTAGCACATCTCCCCTTTGTTATTCAATCCCCTACCAAAACCCAGGAGTTTCCAAAGCTGATTTTTCATGTAAAAGTTGTACTACTACTCTTGCTTCTGGGGAGTGCTGATGGACACTGACTTCTTGTTCTTCAGGCTCTGGAATCTCCAGCTATGGGAATAACTCCCAAGACGTCCCCAAAGCCTTTGAGGATTGCATGCTAAAAGTCAAGGAGCAGGTCCCACTGCCCCTCCACAGATCCACCCGCATCTACCTGGGAGCCACGGCTGGAATGCGCTTGCTGAGGTAAAAGCTAGTGTCACGAAGGAGCCCAGGTGACTAAAATAACCAAGAACGTGTTGAACCTTGCCAAGAATGTTACTGTATTTCTGGGAACAAACCCAAGAGAAAGAAAGAAGCCCATATTCTGCCATAAATTTAGACTTCGATGGTTGGGAAACTTTTAGTTGTTAATTTAATACCTCAAAAGAAACAGTTCTAAAATTGGTTCTCTCTCCTGAGGTGACTTTACTGAGCACTCTGGTAAAAGGGTTAACATGACATGGAACAGGAGCGTTTTTGACACCTGTAAACAACCAGCTAAGTTGTGTAGTAAGCGTGGCCCCTGGCTGTCACTTCTGCCCATGCACAAAATAGCCTTGTCACCTGCTATAAGACAACAGTCTTTCCTTGGCCTCATTCAAAGCCTTTGGAGTTGTCATCCAGTCAGTTGGGTCCCACTAAATTTATAGCCATGTCTTTGAGCCTACTGGCATAGTTTTTGAATATACTTTCTCCTTTTTCTTCATCATAGTAGTTCTTTGACCTTGAGATAAAAGAAAAACAGAAAGAAACGTGAAATGTAAATCTATTCAGGGTAGAGTCTGCTCCAAGTCTTGGAAATAGCCTTTATCACCAAAAAATGAGACTCACTCTGCTTCAAAGGCACTTATGATCCCAGTTGTGTGAAATTATATAGGTCTGGGCATGAAGAACATAAAAAAGAATAAACGAGAGCTTCTCTTTAACATGATTATGAAAAGAAATCTTGGAGCACTTGCAGTAGGACTGGGCCTTTTCATTGGCATGTCAGATCCTATGGTAGCCTGAAGCAGTGCTTAATCTCCTTCCTGAGCTGAGAGTGAGCCAGTGCTCCTGGCTTTCTTTACCCACTGGCAAACTGGGGAATAATCTCCCAAGTGAGCTTTGTCTTATAAGGCAGATGTGTTCTATAATAACCTTTGTCACAGGTGATATGGCAATGCTGGGTTGCCAGCTCTTATTTAGGACAGACACCAATGGTTTTCAGTCCAGTGACAGCCATGATGACCTCATGTCCCCTCACAATGAAGCCTCCCAAAGAGTGGAGCAAGGGTGGCTCCAGACCCAACCATTTTTCCTCCTTCCTCTTAAGCTCTCCTTCCTTCTGGCTGGGTGAGGGCTCCTTTTTGTGATGCCCCAAGAGATTATTTATTATGGACTCCCCTATACCTTCAACTGTCTCCTTTCTTCTGCTGACTTGAGACAAAGCCATAGTAGTGAAGTAGGAGACTCTTCCGGTTAAATGATTGATAGTGAGCAAAGCAGGAAGAAGTAGGAGTGGGAGAACAAATTGAACTCTTGGGGAAAGCTATTTTCCAGCGTGGAAACTGGATGGATAACAAGTGCATCCTGGCTTCACTGTTGCCCTGGGAGGCTATAACTTGGAAAGGAGGTCACCCTGCATTTCACACATCTAGAAAGTCATCTTGCCAGCAGGGGTGGGCTGGGAGGTCTACTTTATCACCTGAGGGAGGCTGGTGAAGACTGTGTTGGCTAGGCACTCAGCCTTTTGTGTTCTGTGCCTTGCATAGGTTGCAAAATGAAACAGCAGCTAATGAAGTCCTTGCGAGCATCCAAAGCTACTTCAAGTCACAGCCTTTTGATTTTAGGGGTGCTCAAATCATTTCTGGGCAAGAGGAAGGGGTGTATGGATGGATTACAGCCAACTATATAAAGGGAAATTTCCTGGAGGTGTGTGGAAACAAAATGCATGTTTTTAACCTTGCTGTTTATCCAGTCCCTGGGGGTGTGATAGCCGAAGCAGAGGTCCACGCCGAGGGGTGTTCATTGGAATGCATGAAGGAGACAGTCATGGGATAGCAGCTAGGAAAAGACACTTACATATAGCTGGGGGAAAATTTGTTTCATAAACAGGACCAAATGCATGGAGGAGGGAGAAGGTTAGCACTTTGCTAGCTTGTGACACTGAGCACTGGGCAATGGGGTCCTTTGAAGGGCAACTGGAGAATGGCCTTTCCAAGAGGCTCCATGGCCATCTGGAACTCGCAGAGCCCTCAGGAAGTCGACTTCCCAAGTCCCAGAGACAGAGGAAGTCCCCACTGTGTCCCCAGGTCTCTTACAGTCCAACCCCTGCACTTTTTGCGCCTTAGGTACAAGGGAAAGTCAAACGTGTTGCAGAGTGCACACTGAGGGCCCTCAGACCATATTCTGTTCAACACCAGTTTTGTTCCCCTTCACATGCATTTTTAAATTTTAAGTTAATTGCCTTGGTTAATATTTGGAAAATTTTACATAAAACTCCACACAGGTAGTCTCTTCTGACTCCTTACCCCCTTGCAGTTGGAGGAACTGGTCACAGTGGACTTGTCTTCCTGCATAGGAACAACCAACAAGACAGAGGGCAACCATGGACTCTCCAGTTTGTCACAGTCCCCACCAGTCCCTATTGCATACACACAATCTACCTCACTCAGTTATAATACATTTGTTGCCTGCCCAATTCCTGTAGCCATTTGAATTCACCACCCCTGAAGTTGAAGGAGAGAATTGGCCCTGAGTGCTCCCCGTGTCATACTGCTGAGCAACAGGAGTTGGGTCTTGGGTGGAGAACCCTGGGCAAGCAGAGGTGGTGCCTTTGTCCTCTCTTCTTCTTTTCCCACTGTGCAGAAGAACCTGTGGCATATGTGGGTGCATCCCCATGGAGTGGAAACCACAGGAGCCTTGGATTTAGGCGGTGCCTCTACCCAGATATCCTTCGTGGCAGAAGAAGTGGGGCTGAACACCAGTGACGTCGTGCAGGTGTCCCTATATGGCTACACATACACGCTCTATACACATAGCTTCCAGTGTTATGGCCGGAACGAGGCTGAAAAGAAATTTCTGGCAATGCTCCTGCAGGTACCTGAGCTGGGGGATGGCAGGTGTTTCTTTGGGGGTCTGAGCTCAGGAGAGGGTGCCCTGCCTTCTAGAGTCCGTCCTTTTTACTCCAGTTAGTTAGAGAACAAGAACTAACAGCATTTTTTAATTTACTCCTGGGAGGTCCAAGCTCTCTGTCTTTCTCTGTGATGTTGACCATTTCCAGTGAATCTGAGTAAGACATCCAGGGAGGATCCAGAGCACCAAAAATTTTAGACATAATTCAGGACCTGGGATCCCTTTATGGACACAAACTGTTTTTAAACCAGTAGCTAAATAAGCCTGAGAGCTTTAAGGCTCCCCTGGGTGCAGACAAAATAATACCAGTGGTCACAAGAAAAATAAGAGAAATGCTTTCTGGGAGAAGAGGGGGCAGAGCTCCTCAGGCTCAGCCTCAGACCCACATAGATGTGTCTATGTTAGGCAGGCTTAGCCTGGTAGGTGGTGGGACTTTGGAGCAACCAAATTCCATCATGTTGGTTAGCAATTTACAAGGTAAGTGTTCCAGGACATGGAAGGCTACTTCAGGCACCCGGCTGAAAGGCTATCAAGAACAGAAACTCAATATCAGTGCAGTGTGTGTCATCCAGGGCACTAGCCCCATAGATCAGCCTCAACCCATGTTAGGGGATCACGACCTCAGCTATATCTGGGCTGCTGAGATGGAAGGGAGGGGCCCTGGCTAAGCAGAGCATGTGAGGACAAGTGGAAGTCACAGACCCTGGCTTCTGATGAGCACAGTGGACCAGCGTCAGTAGTGAAACCCATTACCCCATCCACCTTGGCAACTGCACACAGATTGTATTTCATAATATTAACACATTGTTACATTTTTCCAGTTTTTCACCTTTGAATGTGTATTGAGAAATCTGACTTTATGTGCTACAGTTTTTATTTAACCTGAAAATATACCATGAGCAACTTCCTGTGTTCTTTGAAATTATGGTTTTTATGGGTATATAATATTGCAAGTGCCATAATTTAAAAGAAAAAAACCTATATTGGTCATTTTATTATAAAAGAAAGTACATTGTTATGTAAAAATTTCAACCTGTATAGAAGGGAACAAAAGTAAAAATGAAAGAACTCCCCTCCAAAAACACATACTGAATGCCAGCCCTAGTCACAGCTTGAAGGATTGTTCTACACTATACAGTTCAGTATATCTATTTGTGGGATTGAGGTTTGATCTCAGGGGTTTGTACTGGCAAAGCAGGCACTTTATCACTTGAGCCACACCTCTGGTTATTTTGGAGATGGGGTTTTGAGAACTAGTTGCCCAGGCTGGCCTCAAACCGCAATCCTCTCCATTTTAGCCTCCCAAGTAGCTAGGATTATAGGCGTGAACCACTGGCATCCAGCTTATAATTTATTTTCTTTACTGTGTAACATCCCATAATTTATCAGTAGTTCCACTCCTGATGGATACAAGGTTACATCCTATTTTGTTGCTACAAGAATAATGCAATAGTCTGTGAACATTATGAACCACTGGCTTTACTTCTGCAGGATAGGTTATTTTATTTGCATAGACAAGGAAGCACTCTTCCATTGAATTAATAATATTCAGATTCCCACCAATGTAGTGATGACTTTTTAAAATCTTTTAACTTCAGGGATTCCAAGACATTCCAGTAGTAAGAACTTAGATGAGAATTTCTTTTTGGATTTTCTGTTCTATTTTTTGTTGGTTTTGTTTTGTGTTGTGTTTTGTTTTTTGAGTCAGGGTCTCCCTCTGCAGCTCAGGCTAGCCTTGAACTCTCAATCCTCCTGCCTCAGCCTCCAGAGTGCTGGGATTACAGGCATGTACCACCACCCCCAACCCTCTGCTCTGTTTTACACATCCATCCATTTTCCCATTTGGGACCACTATCATGTTTTACTTACAATAATTTGTTTCTCTACTCTCATGCGTTTCTTTTGAACTTCAAAATCAGTTTTAAGTTGTAACAAAGATTTTTTCATTGACAGTGTAATGTCAATTGTATTGACTCATATTATTTGGTAAAATTTGACTTGTTAAGAATTGATAAGACAATTAATAATTTCTATCCAGAATTATAAAAAAAAGTCTTTCCATGCATTTAATTTTTTATTGAAGGATACTTCAATAAAGGTTATAGTTTTCATTGTTCCTATAACCTTTGTTGTGAAATGTAGTTTCTTTGTGTGTGTTTATAATACTTTCTATTCTTTTTTTTTTTTTTGGCGGTACTGGGGTTTGAACTCAGGACCTTACGCTTCCTAGGCAGCACTGTACCACCTGAGCCACTCCACCAGCCCTATAATACTTTCTCTTACTATTGTGAGTACTTTCTATCACTGTTTTTTCCAATTTTAACTGGTTTTACACTAAGATCAAATTATGCTATAGCTTTTTAGTGATCCTTTTCTGTGTCAGGACCACAGGTTGACCTTGACAATGTCTTATAGACACTAAGGTAGTGAAGATGGAATGTTGAATGCCTAAGTTGGCACATTGGTGAACTAAAGTTAAAGAATCCAATAATAAATAATTCAGACACAAAAGAGACAAGAGAACTAATCTTTGCTTAGCTTCTTCTGTGTACCAAGCCAGAGATGATTTACACTATCTTACTCTTTAAAAGATACTAGTCAGGCTGGCAGAGTGGCTCAAGCGATAATAGGGTCTGCCTAGCAAGTGTGAGGTCCTGAGTTCAAACCCCAGCGCCGCAAAAAAAATTAAATAAAATAAAAAATAAAAGGTACAAGTCAGATTTGGAAGTTGGTGCTGAATAATCAGTGATTGGCTTGATTTTTTTTCTTTCAACAAATATTTTAGTCATGGGTATGATGCAGGTATATTGTTACCAGTTGGATATAGCAATTTTTTCATATCATGGACAGAGAAAGGGACCTGACCACTTCTTTTGCAGTCATACAAAGATCTTTGTGGAAGGCACTCCTGTGAATTATATTGAATGAGTGTTGAACTTTTATAGGATTCTGCACAGAATCCTGTTACTGACCTTTGTTAAACACTGTATTATTTTGCAATTTCCTCATCAGTAAAATGAAAGGATTGGGCTGAATGTCAGTGTCAAGATTTCACTTAGAGAAAGAGGTATGCTTTAGTGGTTTTGAAATTGAATAGAGTTCAAATCCAATACTTTATAAGAGAGAGAGAAAGTCTAGAAATAGAATCAAATGCATTTAGAGAATTAGCATAAGACAAAAGAGCATTTTATATGAGTAGGTAAGATTGCATAGTCATTACCTAAAAGTACAGCCAGGTCCCTACTACAGTTTTTCTATCAAGTAAGTCACAAAGAGATCAAAGATTTATATGTAAAAAGGATATTTGTTTGTTTGTAATGGCCAAATGATTGGAAAATACCTTGATATTCATCTGAAGGGTGCTCCTTAAATAAATTATGGCTTCTTGGTACAGTGGGATATTAGGCAGCTACTAAAAAAGAAGTGACCACTCTACAATGTACAATGAATAGGAAGATCTTAAAGACATGTTTTTAAGTGAGAAAGGCAAGAAGCAGAGCAGTGCATATAAAGTGGCACTATTTATAGTTTACAAAAGGTGGAAAGGAGAAGAAAATAGATTTGTATGTGCATATAAGATTCCCGAATAATGCACAAAAAGTGGCAAGGTGACCACTTCCAGAGAGGGATCCAGTGGCTGGAGGTGGATGAGAGGAGACTTCATTTTCCCAGTATGTTTATTTGTACCTTTTGGAAATTTTTAGTGATAGAGAAATAGTCCATTGAAAATGATAAATTAAGCCAGACATGGTGGTACATGCCTTGGGAGGCTGAGACTGGAGGATCTCTGAGTTCAGGGCCATCCTAGGATATATGGAGACCCTGTGTCAAAAAATAAAAACAAAGCAAAACAAAATGATAAATTAATCTAGAGACCCATTTTCTCATCAAAATGAAGTTCATGAAATCTGCTTCATAGGACTATCTTAAGGGCTGGATCAGAAAATATGAGAGAAAGACTAGGGTAACTGTCACACACACCCCTGCCTACCCCTACCTGACTTATCTAGATGAGCTGGGTCAGGTACACACTGATGCAGAATGGTGTCTTTCTCAGCATCTCTCTTGGCATTGGAGGGTTGTGATAGTGAAAATTTGCCAAAAGGAAACCTTGGACTCCACCTAACGCCTCACTCTTGTGCCTACAGAATTCTCCCAATGAAACCAATCTCACCAATCCTTGTTACCCGATGAATTACAGCACCACCTTCACCATGGGCCAGGTATTTGGCAGCCTATGCACAGAGAAGCAGAGACCAGAAAGTTACAACACCAATGACATCATTTATTTTAAAGGAACTGGGGATCCATCATTGTGTCGGGAGAAAGTGGCATCCATATTTGACTTTAAAGCTTGCCATGGACAAGAAGGTTGTTCTTTTGATGGGATTTATCAACCAAAAGTTCAAGGGCCATTTGTGGTAAGCACAAAACCCACTGGAAGATTCTTGTCTCCATCCCATTAAGTAATTATCTCTCACCTGTCTCTCTTTTATTGTCCTGTGACCTACTTTTTTATTCCCCAGGCTGACAGCTCATGTGCTGGCCCTGTTTGAGAGCTCTTTCCTCTGTTCTACTTATAGGCCTTTGCAGGATTCTACTACACAGCCAATGCTTTAAATCTTTCAGGGAGCTTTTCCCTGACTGCCTTCAACTCCAGCACCTGGGATTTCTGCAAACAGACTTGGAATGAGGTCAGTGTTTAAAGAGAAGGGATTAATGTCAGTACAAAATGTACAGCATTTGTGTGCATGTGAGAATATCCTGAATTTAGCCCTTATGATCTTTTATAGCCACATATATAAAATCAGGGTAATACAGGAACTTACTTCACACTTGGGCTGTGGATTAATGCTCTAACCACATGCCTAATGATTAGAGCAGTGTTCAGCATATAATGAGCACTCAATGAACTTAGAAATTATTACTATGACATTGTATAGGAATTCTTAATTATTATATCATTCTATTAGTATAGTCATTTTTATTATGGAATTCTGGGTAAAAAAAATTTTTAAATGTCTGTTAACTCCAGGTGTTCTGAAATGTGCACTTTAAAGTATGCCTGCCTGCTCCTCCTTTCTGATATTTTGAACCTCCTTTTCAGCTCCCATTCCTGCTTCCCAAATTTGATGAGGTCTATGCTCGCTCCTACTGCTTCTCTGCTCACTATATCTACCATTTGCTTATAAATGGATACAAATTCACAGAGGAGACTTGGCCTCAGATACATTTTGAAAAAGAAGTAAGTCAAAGCACAAATTGTTTTCTCTTCTTCCTCTCAAGACAGGTTTGTATGCATGTGTGTAGAAGGTAAAGGGTATTGTCAATTTAAAGGTGTTGGGTACAAGCGGATCAAACTGATCACTTGTGACCACCCAGGAGAAGAGATAATGGGGGAATTTGAAGGAGTTGCTCATAGGAGAACTCTCCAGATGTGAAAAAGACTGGAAGTCAAGGGCCGGGGGATGGTGAACTCCTCAAGGGTAGGGGATGGCTCAGTGTCTTTGTATTCCCAGCATCCAGCACGAGGGCACAAACCTAGTGGGTGCATAGTAAATAGTAATGATAACTAAATATGTTAAGGATCTGAGACTTTTCATCCTGGAAATAAGCTTCAAATATAACTTAATTTTTAACAGGATAGTAACTTCACCATTTTACATAGACGTCAAGGAAAACACATGCTATGAGGGATTTACAGTAGTACATTAGCATCAAGAATTTTCTCTTTAAATGAGCCTGAGGTCACTGCATTTATGTACAAAGACTTTGGGGATGAGGAGTATCTTCTTGGCTCAGCATTTTAAAGAAAGAGAGAGAGGGAAGGAGGGAGAGAGGGAGGGAAGAAGGGAGGGAGAGAAGAAGGGAAGGGAGGGCGGAAGAAGGAAGGAAAGAAGGAAGGAAGGAAAGAAGGAAGGAAGGAAAGAAGGAAGGGAAAGAAAGAGATAGATAGATAGATAGAGAGAGAGAGAGACAGATAGATATGGGTAGAGAGATAGATAATGATTACCTATCAAGTAATCAGGACATTTACAAACAGGAATGACAGTTGCCACCAGACCTTGTTTTCAGACAGGACTCAGCCTTGTACGCCCAGCACTCTGGGGAGCACTCTGCTCCCCAGTTCTGGAAGAAGTTCTCCTTTCAGGAATAGCTGATGGAAGGCTGAAGGATGTTTGGAGTCAGCCTTTCAATTCCAGCTTCAGCAATAATTAGATTAAACCAACCAATATCCTGCATTAGGTCTGTGGCTGTCTATTTTCACAAAAGTAAAATTAAGTCATCTACAAAAAATAAGGAAGTCTGGAGACATCAGGCCTGTTGGTGGCATGTACTCTCTAAGCTTCCCTCTAGCAAATCTAATTACCAGTAAAGTACATTACAAGAATGGAGAATGGCATTCCATTGAATAGCAGTTTGGATTAAGAAACATTCTAGGTTTGAAGTTCCTTTTCTTTAATCATAAATATTTTTAATTGAGCCAAGTTAGTATTTAAAAGTAAGAGTATAAAAAGACTTCAGAAGATCTGCCACACAAAGACTTACATTGAGTATCTTTTTGGAGGAAGAGATCAAATAAGAAGAGAAATAAATCCAGGAGAAACTACAAAAATATAGAAAGAAAGAATAAATTATTTTTAAAAAGGAAACTAACACTAAAGAGAAAATAAAGGAAGCTGGGTATGGTGGCTCAAGTCTGTAATCCAGCTATTCTGGAGGCAGAGATCAGGAAGATAGAGGTTCGAAGTCAGCCTGGGCAAAATGTTCATAAGACCCTATATCAATGGCTGGACTCACCCACCTGTGATCCCAGCTAAGTGAGAAAACACACTCACTTATCCATGATCCATGCTGGATCATGGTCCAGCATAAAGTGAGACTGTAGCTCAAAAATAATACAAAAAGGGCCAATGGAGTGGCTCAAGTGGTAGAACACCTGCCTAGCAAGTATGAGGCCCTAAGTTCAACCCTAGCACTGCAAAATAAAACAAAACCCTCTATCCACACAACCCAAAGATAAAACTAAGTCAATATGATAGTGGTCTGGTAGGGATGATAGAGGGTGATAGGGTACAGAGACATAAGAATAGCCTAAAATTCTCTCCTTGCCAAAGGAAACATACAGATACCTTTTTTAAGGCAGGAGAAGAGAAACAAATTAATACAGGAAAAGAGTACTAATAGGAATTATTAAAGTAAGATATTCAAAAGGATCACAAATACATCAATAATCTCAAAGTCATAAGTGGGCTAATCCTACTACTTAAAAGTAGTAGGATTACTACTGTCAGATTGATTTTTAAAGAGAAACACTTATGCTTAGCACAAGGACATGGAAGGATTGAAAGTAAGAAAAAAATTTAATTACTAGACAAATACTACTCAAAAGAAACTTGTGCTGTCATTTAATATTTAATATCGAGGTAGAAAGGATTATAACACAATGATAAAAAGTTTAATTCACTGTGAAAACTGCAAATCCTTAATTAACATTTATATGCCTAACAAAAAAGGCTAAAACCATGTGAAGCAAAAATGGACAGAAGAAACTGACAAAGTCTACTTCCCATTTGGATTGATCCCATTCTTAGAAACCCATCCTGGGGTCAGAAATTACCAGGACCTGTTCCCCTGGTTCTCCTGGGCAACTGTAATGCTTTCACTGTCATTAATTTTGCCTTTTTCACGCTTGGCTGGGATGCAGTCATAAGGATTCATTCTTCTGTTTTCTCTGTAGTGCCAAAGACAGGACTCAATTCTTAATGGCTACAGAGTGGTATCTGAACATGGGCAAATCCTTTGGCCACAGGGAGCCTTGTGGGGTTGACAGTGGTGTGCCCCAGGTATGCAATGTCAACCTTGAGCTTGGCCCCGAGAACTGAGCCATCTCCTCTCATCCACAGGTGGGGAACAGCAGCATAGCCTGGTCTCTGGGCTACATGCTCAACTTGACCAACCAGATCCCAGCTGAAAGTCCCTTGATCCGCCTCCCCATACAGCAATCCATCTTTGTGAGCATCCTCGCCTTCTTCACAGCGACAGCCTTGCTGTGCCTGGCATTTCTTTTGTATCTGTGTTCAATGTCCAGGACAAAGAAGCGCTCCGAGCATGCCTTCGACCATGCAGTGGATTCTGAGTGAGCCATAAAAGCAGCTCCTGGAGTCCTCGGCTATCTAGAAGCAGCAGCCTGGGCGGCACCAGGCAGTACAAGCCAAGTGGCCGCCTCCAGGAAATGTTCCTACAAGTCACATAGCTAGGCCATGTGCCTCTCAGACACTGATTTCTGCCAAAGCGCCTCTTGGGGAGTCCCTCAACTACTCTGTGCACATTGTTACTCCAGAGACCCCTGCCCACTTGCTGATGTACTGGGGACCAGAGGAGAGGCAAACCATAAGATCAGGCTCTTTGTTATCCATCCCCACAGGAAGAGGAAGTTGAGTTTAACAGTTTTAAGTGGAAGAGCTGACCTCAGGGCTCAGTTTCCACCTGACTCCCTTAGTATTCCTCCCAGCAAGGTACCTGTTAAGCATTTGACTCAGATGTCTAACTTTATGGTCCCCTCCTATTGGCACTTTACACTCTTCTTTTAGCAAGCCCAAAAGCATTGAGCTCCCACAGACTGGTAGAATAGAGTACCTGGGGGAGAAAAAAGTCTATGGTGACCACAGCCAGCTTCTGTCATGCAGACAGAACCTGAAGCACAGACACACACAAAAGTATCCTGAGAAACTGTAGCCATTCTTAAAGTGGAATTCCCATCAGGGCTCTGGTTTCTAGATTGTGACCTGTATGCGTGACATCATCATTATCTCACTGTCACTGCTGTCCCTCCTCTAAAACACATTTACTCCTAGTGAGGTTACTGTTTTCTTGATCTGACTGCCTTTGCAGGCTGTGGCTTAGGGCTACCTTTCCATTATTAACCTTTCCATTATTGCCTACCGTCCCCACAGGTACAGGGGATACCATAATAAGACATGCTCTTTTATGATTTGCTTTCCATCCACTTTCCCAGATCATAGGCCTCTCTGTCTTGACTCTGGGGAAAGGAAAGGAATCTGCAGGAATATTTGCCTCCAAAGTGGGATGAGAAAGAACTTGAGCAAGTACAGTAACTACAAACTAAAAATCAACATTGTTTCAGATTGCTGTTTTGTTGGCTCAGTGATGAAATAAAGAGCTCTTATTTTGACTTGCAATGTGTGTGTTTGCTCACTTAAATATATCTATTTATCTATCTACCATCTATCTACCATCTATCCATCTATCTATCATCTATCTATACAGTTCTGGAGATCATACCCAGGACCTTGCGCATACCAGGCAAGTGCTCTACTACTGAGGTGCATCCCCAGGGCTCGTTTTTTTGAAACAGGGTCTGACTAGCTTGCTCAGGCTGGCCTCGAATTCACTATGTACCCCAGGCTGGCCTCAAGCTGTAGAGTCCTTCTGCCTCAGCCTCCCAAGTGCTGCTGGGATTATGTGTGACCCACCATACCCACCACTAAGTTTCTTAAATAAAAAAAAATTGTAGGGGGTGGGGGCAGGGGAGAGAAATGACCCAAGCATTGTATGCACATATGAATAATAAAAAAATAAAGAAAAAAAATTGTGCTGGAGCTATAGCTTAGTGGTAGAGTGCTTACTTAGTATGCACAAGGCCCTGGGTTCAATCCCTAGTACTGCAAAAAAAATTGCTGGGTGTGATAAAGCACACCTATAATTCCAGCACTCAGGAGGCTAGGGTGACAGGATCAAGATTTAGAAGCCAGCCTGGGCTGCATAGTGAGATCCTGCCTCGAAAAAAGATAAAAAAAGAAATTTAGTGAATTAAGAAAATCATGCATTAATACAATCTTTATTCGTAGGAGTTCAAAATGCCTTCACTTTGATCAAACTCTTGTTCCTTGACATAATCAAGTCAAACATTTCTTTACTTTGTTTGACATTCTAAACTGCTGAGGTCACAACCTGCCACTCAGTTGATTCCCAACAAAATGGCTGCTGCATCCCAAACTATACCCTGTACCATGGTCTTCCCTTCCCAGACTGTGGCTTATCCTTTTACTGATCCAAATAATACATATTTTTCAGTTGTATGTCTTCCACAAACTTTCCCTGTATGCATATACTTGATGAACTAGACCACTTTTTCAAAACTAGTCACAGAAATTCTTATATTGTTATCTGTATGTATAAATATGAATGAATATTTCTAAAGCTTCAAGACAAAACCCATCATTCATCACTAACTTGTTTTGTCAGTAGACATCTAAGAAATACCTGTTATGGGTCTAACACGTGGCCAGTGCAATTTTGGACTTGGAAAGTGCTGTGAATGTCGTCTGTAGTCACATTTGTTAACTGTGGTTGTTCCCATAAACTGCTAAAGGATGGGAGATAAGTTAGACATCAGATGAAGACAGCATCCAAATCACCAAGACTCTGCAAGAAGAACTTGTCTTTGTAGGAAAGAGGGCCAAGATTGCATGAAGACCAGTCCTAGCCAACATGTCTAGCCCACTGGGAACTTGGAATAGGCTAATGATGCATTTCAGGTGTTCTGACACATAGCAAAGAATTCTTTCCAGATGCAGTATTGGGAACTCTGCAGTCCCAGCACCTTTACCTTCTGATGTCACTCCTGTGACGGTATGATTGCACTGTCATGTGGCAAAAAGGGACTTGCAGGTATGATTATGATCAGTTGGCCTTAAAATGGAGAGCTTATCTAGGTAGACCATCACATTAGCTCTTTAAGACGAGAATTTTCCAGAACAAACTCTAAGAGAATTTCCAGAGAAATTCTAAGTATGACAATTCCACATGCTATTGCCAGCTTAGAACCAAAGGCAACCCCTGCCTGACAGCAAGAAAACAGGGAACTCTATCCTCCAACTTCAGGGAACTACGTTCTGCCAGCAACTCAGAACCTTCTGGTTATAGTCTAACCCAGGTGACTACATGGACTTCAGCCTCATGAGAGTAAGCACAGAATCCAGTTGAGCCCACCCCAACCGTTTTTCTTTTTCTTTTCTTTCTTCCTTTCCTTTCCTTTCTTTTCTTTCTTCTTTCTTCAGTACTGGGGTTTGAACTCAGGGCCTTGCATTTGCCAGGCAGGAGCTCAACCACTTGAGCCACACCCCCATCCCTTTTTGCTTTAGTTATTTTTCAAATAGCATCTTGCGTTTATGCCCAGACCAGCCTGATCCTCAATTCTCCTATTTATGCTTTCCAGTGTAGCTGGGATGACAGGTGTACAACCACCATGCTCAGCTTTTATTGATTCAGATGGGGTCTTGTGAAATTTTTTGCCCAGACTAGCATTGAATCACAATCCTACCAATCTCTGCTTCCTGAGTAGCTAGGATTATAGGTGGAGCCACACTGCACCCAGCCTATCCCAACTTCTGACCTACAGAACTGTGAGGTAATAAATGGGTATTGTTTTAAGTCACCAGATTTGTGGTGCTTTGTTATGTAGTCACAGAAAACTAGTACAACTATGGAGCCCCAAGCTCCAAGGTTCTACCCAAAGTATGTACATTTGAAATATATGGTGAGGAAAGAAGGAGTGAGATATCACAAACTGTATCTATTCCTTACAACAGCCAAATAAGAATGGCCTGTGCTCAGAGGTAAAATCACATGTCAACACCACCCAGCTAGTGTTTATGGAGATGGGGATTGTGGGCTGAGCATCTGGCTTGGTTGATTCTAAAACCTATTGCAGTTGGGTGCCACCAGTGGCTCACGCCTGTAATCTTAGCAACTCAGGAGGCAGATATCAGGAGGATCAGAGTTCAAAACCAGCCTGGGCAAACAGCGAGTCTTGAAAAAAATCCATCACAAAAAAGGGCTGGTGGAGTGGCTCAAGGTGTAGGCCCTGAGTTCAAACCCCAGTACTATGAAAAAAAATGTAGGAGAAAATGTTTAGGACCCTGTGTGGGGAAGGGCTTCTTAAATAGTATACAAAAAGGGGTAGCCATAAGAGAACACGTGATACATTTGGTTGCATTAAAACGAAAAATCTATTCCTGGACTGGATGCCAATGGCTCCTGCCTGTAATCCTAGTTACTCAGCAGGTAGTGATCAGGAGGATCACAGTTCAAAGCTATCTTGGGCAAATAGTTTGTGAGACCTTATCTTGAAAAGCCCATCACAAAAAAGGGCTGGTGGAGTGGTTCAAGGTGTAGGCCCTGAGTTCAAACACCAGTACCACACACACAAAAAAACCAACCAAACAAACAAAAAACTCTACTCCTCAAAAAATAGCAGGAAGAGTGAAAAGGCAAGCCATAGACTGGAAGAAGGTATTTGCAACAGATATAACCAAAAAAGGACTAATTTCCAAATTATATGATGATTCCTACATAGCAGTGAGAAAAGGGTAAAAATCCAATGTTTCTATATGGGCAAAAGGCTTGAAAAGATGCTTTTCAATGAAGAAATCTAAATGTCTAATGAACACGTAAAGAGGAACTCAGTCTCACTAACAGATGGGCCATGCAAGTTAAAACTGCAAGGAGCTAACACAAGCTTCCTAATTTGGCGAAAATTCAAAAGTCAGGGCTGGGTGTGTAGCTAAGTGGTAGAGCATGTACTTAGCAGACATGAGCATCTGGGTTCAATCCCAGAACTGCACAAACACACACACACACACACACACACACACACACAAGTCTGATGATGCCCAGTGGAATTGAGGATGCGGAGTCACTGAGACTCTCCTGTCCTGCTGGTAGAAGTATAAATTAATGCAGCCACTCTGGAGAACTGTGGTATTGTTCAATAAAGTTGAAGACAGACATACCAAATGACTGCAAATTTCAGCCCAAGGTATATGCTTCAGACTCGTGTTCTATGCATGCGAGGGCACTCATCTGTGAAACATTTTGAGCACAACAAAGGTGCCCATCCCATAAAGTGGGCGAAGAGATGGTGATGTATCTATACTATTTATGAAAGCAGCAGCACTGCAAACACATGCATAGTCTGGATGGTTTATGAATATAATGTTCAGGGCAAAAAGAAAGTCACAAAAATATATTTTTGGGATGGTACTGGGGTTTGAACTACAGGCCTCATGCTTGCTCGGCAGGTGCTCTACCACTTGAGCCACTCCAGCAGTCCACTAAA